TTGTGAAAAGACTTGATACAACAATTGATCTATTAGACATATAATTAAATAAATTAATCTCTTTGACTTGATATTCAACAAACAAAATCTACATCTATGCATATATATATAACCATATTATTTCTATTTATTTAAGATATATATTTTTGTACTCATGTGAGTAAAGAAATTCAATATGAGTTAACATTTCCATTTAATATATGTGTGTTTAACTATTATGATTAAAAAAAATATAGTTTAATAATTTAATTAAAACACAAAGTCATATTTTATATAAAATTAAATTATTTTTAGTTTTTAATAAATTATTTAAATAAAAAAAGCTTTAATATTTTTTATGTATGTTTATTAATTCAACAATCGTGTGATACACATGTATTAGTTAAAGTTAATTCTAAAATTTAAGTAGATGAAAGAAAAATCTATAATTTTTTTAAAAATTATATCCTAGTCTTAAGTGTTCATAAAGCAGACTAAGTTTCAATCGTTGCGATTTACAGTGTCAGTGTGCGACCAACATTTCAAGGCATCCAACGCAAAACCTAATACTCTCAAGTGCCAAATTCCATCTCAACTCGCAAGTGCCAAATTCCCAATCGGTGGCGGCTGGAAACTGAGAGAGGGACAGAGCAAGCCGGCGACGGAGAGACCCGGCGAGCGGCGAGACAGCTTCAGTCCGTCGATACATTCCGCTAATGATGGCTTAACTGTTTTGGCTTTTCTATTTACTTTTTTATTTATTTTTCTGAGTTGCCTGTGCAGTACCCAAATTTTGCTTATATGTATATAGATATGTGCTGTCAACAAGGAATCGACAATTTCTAACTGTGTACAACGAAAGCATTTCAATTTAACCATCAATTTTATGTTGTGTTTTAATTGTCTAATCTGGACTATCCCTTCAAATTACAGCACTATTATCTCTCTCACCAATGGAGTCCAACGATGTTGAAGAGGAGGAATTTGGTTTCTCAAGAAACTACTTTTTGGCAAAAGAACTCGGTGGCTCCGGAAAGAAATCTGCGCGCAAACTTTCCGGCATCAATCTCGTCGACGAGCCGGTATTTCTGGTCCTCCCCTTTTTGGATTTGTTTTTGCAAAAATGTTGAAGTTAAATGGGCCTTGTGGCTCGTTCACAGGAGCTAAGAGAAGCATATGCTAACATTAAGCCAAAGCACGAGAAAGAAATCGATGATTTGCTACGCAGTTATAAGAATTCATACTCAGAATGGGCTACTGTATTGCGGTAATTATATATTTTTCTGCATTTTGTTTGGGGCGTTCTCTTGAAGACTACTTAGCTTCTATAAATCATAAGTTAATTCTGATTTGAATTTATATCTGCATCCGAAAGGTGTGGTTTTGGGCTATTAATGTATGGTTTCGGGTCAAAGAAGGCGTTGTTGGAAGATTTTGCTGCAAACGCCTTGACTGATTATTCTGTTGTTGTGATCAATGGATATCTCCAGTCAGTCAATCTTAAGCAGGTACGTATCGTGTGGGTGAAAGTTGTGATTTTTCTTTTCTTCATTGCCCAGATGTAAATCAAGCCGCTATTTTATTTGGAGCCCCTTTGGAATTTGGACTGTCATCTTATTGGATATCTATTTGATGGTTACAGTTTAGAAATGTTGTAGAAAGTTACTAGTTGCTTATGTTGGGTATAAAATGTTGAAGGTTTGCAGTAAATGTATTTGTCTGGTTGTCTTTATTCTTTGAATTTACCAACCCAAGAAATGTAATGTGCTTATCAGAGTAAAATGGGTGGGACAAATAGAAGCTTGAATGTTATTTTGAACATATGGATGTGTTTTAATTCTACTCTGAATGATGGCACATAATGTTTTATAAGAAAAGTTGATCAGTAATAGCCATCTTGCTAAAGCTTCAAAGACGTGAATTTTGTAGGTTGCAATTACTTTAGCTGAACTCTTGTGGGAACAACTGAAAATGAAGCAGAAAAGTGGCTCGTTGATAAAAAATCAGCCCTTTCACACTCAATCAATGGATGATCTTATTTTGTTCCTCGATGAGCCACATTTGGAGGATGAGTGCTTTGTCTGCATCTTGGTCAACAACATTGATGGGCCGGGCCTGCGTGATTCAGAGGCCCAACAATATCTTGCCAGGCTAGCTGCTTGTTCTCATATACTCATGGTGGCCTCCATCGATCATGTGAATGCACCTCTTTGTAAGTATCATCTAGAAAGATATCCTTTGCAATATGACCTATTCTTCTGTTTTCCTTTTTTGCATAATTGTGTGCTTCTCTATGAGGTATGATTGTTATACTCGACAGTTGTGTGATTGGCTACTATAATATTCCCTATGAGGTATGATTGTTATACTGTTTGAATTCACATTATTTACATGTGAGGCTCTACGACTCTACATTCACTTCAGTTCAATGTAATCTGAATTTTGCTACTACTATAATCATGAGGTGGCCTATTTTTCAGTAAAAACATTAAGCAGGCATTTATAAGTTCTTAATTAAAATATACGTAATATACGTATTAAACCACGTTCTTGAATATTTTCATTTTTTTTTGCAGTATGGGACAAAAAGATGGTTCACACTCAGTTTAATTGGTACTGGTACCATGTTCCTACATACGCACCTTACAAGATAGAAGGAATGTTCTTTCCTCTCGTTCTCACTCACACTGGCAGTGCACAAAACGTGAAAACAGCTTCAATAGTTCTGCAGAGTTTGACGCCAAATGCTCAAAGCGTTTTTAAACTTCTTGTGGATCATCAGCTTGCCCATCCTGATGAAGAAGGCAAGTGGCTACATTTTGATCCTGAGATTCTGAATAACTATTTCCATAAATGGTTAAACTACATAAACCACCCATATAAGTTAGTTTTGTTACCAAAAGAAAAAATAAATCCCAAGATTACAAATAACTCTTGTATATGGTACACTTTGTAAGTTAGACACAGGTGGCTGATTTTTTTTTTTCTTGAACAGGTCAAGGGTATTATTTTGATTTATTTTCAGTACTTTATAAGTTTCACATTATGATTCATTGATTGTTGTTGTCTTACAGGGATGCCGTTAAACAATTTGTACACGATTTGCCGAGAACGATTTCTGGTGAGTAGCCAGATTACTCTGAATGCTCATCTTACGGAATTTAAAGACCACGAGTTGGTCAAGACGAGAAGAAATTCGGACGGCGAAGATTGCTTGTACGTTCCACTCTCGAGTGAAGCACTTCAACAACTTGTGCAAGAGATCAACCAGTAAAACGAGTTTAAGCCTAATTGGTGCAGATTTGTTTTACTATTTTTGTTGCCTTTAGGCAAAAATTGAGGATAAAGTGATTTAGGGAATATGATGATGATGCTTTACCAAACATTGTGCTGACCGATATTTAATCACAGATTATTTAGTATTTTTTTTTTACAAAATGTTAATTTTCGAATAGATGAAGTTCATTAGACGTGAATGACCATATTTATAGAGTTCTTCATGAGCTATATATGGGCCTTCGTATACTCAACATCCCCTTTAAACTCGAGGTGGAGGGTTTGAAGCATTGAGTTTGAGCAAGTTAAGTTGATGTTGTTCTCTAACTTGTGCTTTGGTGAAGAAATAACCAAGAAATATGCTACTTGCGGTGGGCACATAATGAAGAAGGTTTATTTTTTTGATGAACATGTTTTTTGATGAACATGAGATCAGGTAAAGAAAGCCTCAACACAAATGTTTTTGCAAGTCCATGCTTTACTGGATCATTTTGACAATTTGTACGACTCCAATATAATCACAAAGAAGAGGTGTAGGACAGGACAAATGGACAATCAAATGAAATACCAAAACCAACTAACAACCATCAAAGTCATATAAGGTAGTGGCAAGTGCTCGAAGTTTTGCCTCTATGCTAAATCGAGATACAACTACCTGCTTCTTGGAATGTATTAATAAATTATTTTATATCAAATGAAAGTGAATCAGCACATTTTTATTTTATGTTTATTGCTAAAACCTTTCTTATTTTTCCTTTTCCNGCTTGCATGTGTGAGCAGGGTGGAAGATTGTGTATTTCTAATTGTTTTTCTTTTCCTATAATTTATTTGCTTCAGTCTGAAACTTTTTATTGGGCAGAAGCAATATTTTCTTGGGTTGTTTGGTTTGCCTGAAAAGTATTTACTATTTTTTTGCTTTTGAGAAATTTTTTGTTGCTGCAAAACGATATTGTTTTACAAGTTAGATAGTGTAGAATAACTGCCTTGTAAAGATTTGGGCTTTACTAAAATCATCACCAAATTGGGATGAGGCTAAGTATTGTTATATTAATTTACAGTTCTACAGAGCATATATTTTCTCAACATGCATATATTATATCAATCTTAAAAGGGCCAAGGGGAGATCACAAAATTTTCTCCAAGTCCTTTGTTGTTTGAGCCAAGTCCCAAAGAGGATTCTTCCGGCTGAGAAATGAAAAACTTGCTGCTCATATAGCAATTTATAGTATTTTGTTTAGGTTTGATCTCGTGATTAACTTGTGTTAACCAACCCAAATTTAATTGGGTAATTAATTCGCACGAAGCAAAAAATAATGCTTCTCATGCCCTGCAACCAGTGACTTACATACCAATGTTAGACTAACATTGATTTGAACATACCAACATTCGATCAAAAAGCTATGTTCTAAAGTCAATAACAAGAACAAAAACAAAAAATAGTTGACCTCATATTCTAATTAGACAATAATAAATAAAACATATGTTTTATAAATGAGAAATAATAAATCAATAATAGCATAAGTGAGAAATAAGCAACCAGGGACCAACTGGCAACAAAACAAATGCTTCTACTTTATGGTTTGCCCAATTGTAAGGAAACTAACTTTGAGTACACACCAAATGCTAATAAGCACTCAAACCAAACCCAAAACCATCTCTCATATATTTACCCAATACCTTTCACTCATTAGTTTTCAACAATCTGAACATGGCTCCAACTGCTTGTACCTTCCAAAAACTTTCCCTCCTTTTCATCATAATCTGCTTCCCTTTATCCACCTCCATCGACTTCAACTACCCGGCTGTTTTCAATTTCGGTGACTCGAATTCCGACACTGGGAACCTAGTCGCCAGCATGGCGGAGCCCCTCGAACTGCCTAACGGTCAGACGTATTTCAAGAGACCTTCCGGAAGGTTCTGTGATGGCCGCCTCATCATCGACTTTCTGAGTAAAAAAAAAAACTCGTATTTCTTGTATTATTATTTTTTCCTTTTTCCTTTTTCTTTTTTTTTTTTNTTTTTCTCCTGCCAAACGAGACCTTAACCTCATTGCCTTTCGTTTAAACATAATATGGCAGTGAATGCTATGGACTTGCAGTTCTTGAACGGGTATTTGGACTCAGTAGCTGCTCCAGTTTTCAGAAGAGGGTGCAATTTCGCTGCTGCGGGGTCCACCGTATTACCCGCAACTGCAACATCCGTTAGCCCGTTTTCGTTTGCGATCCAAGTGGCACAGTTTTTCAAGTTCAAGGCAAAAGTCGAAGAAATCCAGGCTAAGTGTATTAACTATTACCTCTATCTTGTATATATATATATTTATCAGGCAAACATGCAATTTTAGTCCCAATGTTCCAACTTTTCGCCTTTTGGTCCTCGGATGTAATATTTTGCTGCAATTTCAGTCCTCGGAGGACTGTAATTGCAACAAAATTTAAATTACATGACTGAAATTGCAATAAAATTTTAAATTACAGGACTTAAATTGCTAATCAAAAATCCATCCCAAATATATAAATTGGGAGTTTCGCAATTTCAATCCTCAAATGAGTGAAATTGCTGCAAAATATTAAATTAGCGAAATGTTAGAATCTTGGGACTAAAATTGCTATCACATTAACCAGCAGGACTAAAAATGCAATTTAACCTATTTATCATCATGATGTAACTAAGAATGTGACTTGTCTAGTT